GAAAATAATGACTTTTTGGGTTCTCGAAAACCTCCAACGGACAGAATAATTTAGACCATACTGTATGAGTTTTTGTAAAACTCCTAATTTTACTGAAAACATCATCATGTATTGGGTGACAAGATATTAAGTACCACCCCCTGTAACTTCTTTTCCTTCTCGAAACATAACATACGTTTTCACTATCTTTCACAGAGAGCAACAAAAAGTGTATGAATTTTAAATAGGTTACCCTAAATATAATTTCTCACCACTGAACATACTTTTCGAAAAGCATTTAAAAAATATGGCACTCCATATGCTTCTTTGTTTCTCAGTTTATGGGCATTCAGTACAAACAGAGTTTGATCGATTCTCGAACGATTCTCGAGAAAATGTCATGACAATAATTGCATATTCATATAACATTTATTTATCATTTGCGGTGATCACACGGATCACTGATAATCGATATTGTACTCAAAGACAAGGCCAACTTTCGAAAATCATTCAAAATCGATCAAACTTTGTTAGTTTTGAATGCTTCTGAAAAATACAAAAGATAAATATATGATGTGCGGTACTTTTGGATTGCTCTTCGGAAGGTCTTTCCAATAATGAGGAAATATAAAGGGTGTTAAATTCAAAATTCATGAACTTTTTGCTGCTTACCCTATATTTTTGCAAATAGTGAACATCTCTTGACACGAGAAGATAAAACAATCCAATGTGAGTCTATTTTTCGTTTTTGTTTTCTAGTGTCAGAAATGAAAGAATTATAGGGGGTGATACTTTATAGTTTGTCAACCGGTATACTGGCTCCGGTGGAAATTTGAAAAATTCAATTTCGAAGATTTTGAACATCAGCATTTCTAATAGTTATATTTATGTACGATGGCACAGCTGCCTCTATACTATGGGCGTTAGGATCTAGTAACGCTCGTGGTGCATAAATGATTTTATGCACGACCGGGCGTAAAGTAGCACTTTACCGCCCGGGTTTGCGGGCGTAGTGGCACTTTACCGCCCGCGGACTACTTTACCGCCCGGCGGGCGATAAAGTCATTGAGCTGGTGGTAAAGCTATGTCATATCGATAGAAATCTAGATTCCAATGGTTTCAATTAATGCAAAATGATTGGGAAAATAGATCTGAATTATACAGGAGTGCTCATTTGAATATTAAAGTTTTCTTTATATTTCTGTAATGCAAAATTATATGATCAAACCCAAAACTTTATTAACAATAATAAAACGAATCAATTAACATAAATAACGAGTTATAACTTAATATTTATAATACAATCAGAACAGTTAGTTATGGATATATTTGGATTTGTTGTCTTCTGCTGTTGCAGGTAGCTGATTCCAACTGATTCCATATTACTAGAATTCTGAAAAGAAGTAATTCCATTATCTGGTAGTTGAGAGTAGTTAGCAATATCTTCAGATTGTCTACAATGGCTAGTAGAAGGCTCATCATCTACGATTTTTTTAGCAATCTTCAGCTTATTTGCAACAGAATTTTCGATATAACCTTCCGCAACAGTTGTCGACTTCCACCCAGCATGTCTTTTAATGTTGATTATATCCTCGCCTGCATCTGCTAACATAGTTGCTGAAGAACGTCTGAAGCAGTGACCAGTATATTCTTTTGCATTAGGAAGACCTAGATAAGTTGCTATTCTAAATGGTATTTGACCGAATATATTTTTTCCGATGACCTGTCTCGAACACTTGCCATTTTTATAATACAAAAAAAATCGCCTTTGATCATAATTCTGAACTCGCAAGGAAGAATATTTTCTGTAAGTATCTAGATAACTTGGCGATTTCTGTTCTTTATCGATGACAGTAAATACTCGATCTATCTTCGATTTGGTTTCTCTTATAGTTATGAGTTGGTTATGAGTAAGAAATTCTCGAAGTCTTGAATGTCATCTACTGTGATATTTGCCAATTCCTGTCTGCGACATGCTCCACAAATACCAAAAATCAGTGCTACCTACAACAAAGTTTCAAATTATCATACTTGACATTAAGTACGAATCGTCTGGTGCTTCACTCAATAATAACTCTATTTCTTCTCTGCTTAGAATCTTCGATTTCTTTGGTTTATAACCGTCAGATTTTCTTTTCAAAAAAGCAATCAATCTTGCATATTTACTAATATCTCTATCATCATGTACATTTAAAGTAGCTTTCAACATGGAATAATATGACCACATGGAATAGGGCTTACGAGATTTTGATTTTTCCAGAAAATAGGCAAGAAGCACACTTTCAGTGTAGTTCTTATTTTTTACATCATTTCTGTCGCACCAGCTTACGAATTCTTCGTATACTTTGTCGTATATTTTTTTTGATTTACTTGGCAATAAACTCGATTTTGCTTCCTCAGCTGCCTCACTAATTTCTGGTGGAGTACAATTCACACTTTCTTCATCACTAGAATTCATTTTGAAATCACTAATGAATTATGTATGATTACACAAATTGACATTAGCTACTGGCCTATTAATTCCTATTTCGAAAAATTGACTGAGTTGCCATGGTATGATTCCATACTTCTTGATTCATTGTCTTTGCGATATGGATACAATACAGTCTCACTGCAACCGTGATGTATTTTTATTGTGCGGGTGAAGAGATACCTACATGAGATATCAAATATATACAGGTCGTGCATAAAATGTTGTATGTATTTCGGGCGTAACTAGCTTTTATGGACCTAGGCGTGTTAATAGCCCTCGCTATCGCTCGGTCTATTACTTACACGCTGCGGTCCATAAAAACCTATTTTACGCCCTTGATACATAAATAACTATTATTTTTCACGAAAAAAACATTAACCGTTGCCAAAGTACCTATTATAAAGCAGTAATGGACACGGAAGTGAAGTTATCCACATCCACAAAATACACAGAGAAAAATATATCGCCGAAAATGTGTTCAACAATTTCACCCGATTTCAGGTGAAACTTGTACGCATTTCATAGAACGACTGAAGAGGGGTGAATTTGATAGGGAGGTGTTGAACTCGTAGTTTGTCAGGCCGTCTAAGGGGGTAGAAAAGGGGTTGAAAAACAAAAAAAATCATTATCTCCGTTAATACTCGTTGTACATGGATTTTGATTGCGGCAAACGATTCTACTGGTTGTATTTGATAGGAAGGTGTTGAACTCATAGTTTGTCAGGCCGTCTAAGGGGGTAGAAAAGGGGTTAAAAACAAAAAAAAATCATTATCTCCGTTAATACTCGTTGTACATGGATTTTGATTGCGGCAAACGATTCTACTGGTTGTATTTGATAGGAAGGTGTTGAACTCATAGTTTGTCAGGCCGTCTAAGGGGGTAGAAAAGGGGTTGAAAAACAAAAAAAATCATTATCTCCGTTAATACTTGTTGTACATGGATTTTGATTGCGGCAAACGATTCTACTGGTTGTATTTGATAGGAAGGTGTTGAACTCATAGTTTTTCAGGCCGTCTAAGGGGGTAGAAAAGGGGTTGAAAAACAAAAAAAATCATTATCTCCGTTAATACTCGTTGTACATGGATTTTGATTGCGGCAAACGATTCTACTGGTTGTATTTGATAGGAAGGTGTTGAACTCATAGTTTGTCAGGCCGTCTAAGGGGGTAGAAAAGGGGTTAAAAACAAAAAAAAATCATTATCTCCGTTAATACTCGTTGTACATGGATTTTGATTGCGGCAAACGATTCTACTGGTTGTATTTGATAGGAAGGTGTTGAACTCATAGTTTGTCAGGCCGTCTAAGGGGGTAGAAAAGGGGTTGAAAAACAAAAAAAATCATTATCTCCGTTAATACTTGTTGTACATGGATTTTGATTGCGGCAAACGAATGTCCTGATCGAATTTGATAGTGGGGTGGTGAGCTCATAGTTTGTCAGGCCGTCTAAGGGGGTAGACAAGGGGTTGAAAAAAAATCATTATCTCCGTTAATACTCGTTGTACATGGATTTTGGAGGCAGGAAACGATTCTACTGATTATATTTGATAGAAAGGTGTTGAACTCATAGTTTGTCAGGCCGTCTAAGGGGGTAGAAAAGGAGTTGAGAAACAAAAAAATCATTATCTCCGTTAATACTCGTTGTACATGGATTTGGAAGGCAGCAAACGATTCTACTGGTTGTATTTGATAGGAAGGTGTTGAACTCATAGTTTGTCAGGCCGTCTAAGGGGGTAGAAAAGGGGTTGAAAAACAAAAAAAAATCATTATCTCCGTTAATACTCGTTGTACATGGATTTTGAAGGCAGCAAACGATTCTACTGGTTGTATTTGATAGGAAGGTGTTGAACTCATAGTTTGTCAGGCCGTCTAAGGGGGTAGACAAGGGGTTGAAAAAAATCATTATCTCCGTTTTGTACATAGATTTTGGAGGCAGGAAACGATTCTACTGATTATATTTGATAGAAAGGTGTTGAACTCATAGTTTGTCAGGCCGTCTAAGGGGGTAGAAAAGGAGTTGAAAAACAAAAAAAATCATTATCTCTGTTAATATTCGTTGTACATGGATTTTGAAGGTGGCAAACGAATCTCCTAATTGAATTTGATAGGAAGGTGTTGAACTCATAGTTTGTCAGGCCGTCTGAGGGGGTAGAAAAGGGATTGAAAAACAAAAAAAAAACATTATCTCCGTTATATAATACTCGAATTCATCTCAAAATCATCTCCACAACATTTAATAGGTTATGGGGGGACATGTTTCGTCCCCATTTACAACATAACATTGTTCACCTATTAAATATGGAGATGATTTTGAGATTTATTCTCCCTTCAAGCACGACCACTCCACTTTGAGCAATAATTCTTCACACGTTTATATTTGATTCAATTTATTGTCCGTACCGTAGAACCTGATACACTAATTTATGTTTCGACTCTTATACATTTCATTTTCCATAGATTCATATAGTACAACAGTAGACCGACAAGCACATTTTTGTCCTTTGAGGGAGGCATCATTTTGTCTGGAACCAGCAATATCTTTCCGAGTTACTTTTCTGAAGGAAACCCAGCTCCTGAAAACGCTGATAATAATTGTTGCAGAGATCCATAACATCGTGACAGAAACGTATACAATCAGCAGCACCTTGATTTCCTTCACGAGTTGCAGTGTATCATCCTGCTGATGGATGGGATTTTCAGGACTGTCTGTGGAATTCTCTGGAGGCAGATTGTCTTTAGTTTGGGCAACAGCTTCCGAGCTGACATACGTTTCAGTACCTGGTGCATCAGAAGAATCCATCGAGTCAGGAAAATGGACTAATAAGGAGCTTTGGTTAGTTAGCCACATAGATTTATTTTGAATCACCTCTTTACTGATTAACTTCAATGACACTGATCTACCGGTTATTCGATATGTAATTATTTTAGAAGGCGATGACTCTGTTTCTACCTTCACAGTTGCATTACAATGGTATAATGTATAATTGTTTATATCTGGTAACTCCGAGTGATTCCAAGTTACTAGGGTATGATTGATTGAGTTGTCAAAGCAGTATTTCTGCGAATATTTGCATTCAAGACCATTCATCATGATAGTATCACTGTAAAAATCAAAGCATCGATTCGTCTCATACACTTTGCCATTATCGTCAATTCCTGTTTCCTTCAGTTCATACTCTAAATTTGTAACACTGAATCTGATTGTCCCATCATTTTCGGATTTATTGAACTCCGTTTTATACACGAAATCTTGACAAGGAGCCTGTTTATCAAAAGTGCACAAATAAAACACGCTTATATTGGCGTATCGTTGGAAAATTGTTACAGTTGTGGAACACTCCTTTAATGTTGAGAATGATTCAATTTTAAATACTATAAGTAAAAGCAGAAGAAAATTTTCACAATCCATTTAAATCACCGAGCACTTGGATCATAAAATATATATTATGCCAGCAGCTATACCACCACGACTAAAATAATACAGAAGAAAAATGTTATCATTTTGACCACTATCTATCCCACGAACTGTGATAAGAATGAAGTTATTTCAAGGGCGTAGATACAGTGGTAGGTAAAAATAGGGTCCCTTGATGGAAATTGACGTTAAAGTCATCTTAACAGGGTACGGACAGATCATAGGTCGCGTGCACGATGACCGACACTGGAGGCAAAATATTGAAACACAACCTCATTCTTCTGTGAATTATTGAAACACAACCTCACTTTTTTACTTGGTTACAGAGGAATCAAAGGATTGAAATAGTTTTTCACAATATTTTGGCATACGAATCGTGTTTTTTGCGCTATTCGTTAATTTGAGCATGCCTTCGCATTGTGCTGTTGTACAATGCACAAAAATGCAGCAAGAGACTAAAGAATATGATTTTTCAGGTAAATAGTAATCTCACATAGTTATCATTATGAAATGTTGTCATTTCTTATTAAAATTCCTTCTGCCTTCTGTCACTTCTGCAATACAAGCTAATACCAAATAAATACTGCTAATAGATTGAAAATGTCTACAACACACACGATCGTCAGCATGTCAGACCAGTCCTCCCGATTGATTGCATGAATCCAATTTTCTTGCATTATTTTAGAAATTTCAGATGTATTTCTATTAGCTCCTATCGCAGAAGGAATTCCGATGAGAAATCAGAGAAATTACCAAATTTCAAAAATGAAAACTATATGTGAGTGACTATAGTAGGTACTTACTTTTAAATCATATTGTACCAACCGGATTACTTCGTCTTCCGCTGCAGTTTTTGTGCATTTCACAACAGCATAATGTGATGGCATGAGCGAATTGATGAATAGCGGAAAAATACGATTCGTATGCCAACATAATTGTGAAAAACTATTTCGATCACTTGTAAACAAATAAGAAAAGTGACGTTGTGTTTCAATGTTTTGCCTCCAGCGTCGGTCATCTGACAGTTCTTGCACGCAACCCATAGCTGCATTCTTTTTTAATGATCTAGAGACTTTGGTTTTGTCTACTGGCATCCCTGACATTGCTGTCACGTCACATCGTGGTCACATCTGAGACACTCTGAGATGTTTATAATTCCTATCCATGGGCGCTAGAGAAAAACATTCCGAAGTCCGAAAACCGAGAATGCAAATATCGGATATCAAATTTTTCCATAGCTGCTGGCGAGCAGTGATGTCACTGGAGTTATTCCCCCTAGGTCCTCGAGTGTATCATTGGCATCTCTCTCACAGTTGCGAATTTATGATTTCAACCTCAATGATTATTGCGGAAGATACGGAGGTGACACCATGAAAAACGTGACACACTGAATATATTTTTGCGAATATTTCTGAAATTGTGAAAGAAAAAGATATATCAAATCATGGAAATCATCCATATTTCTCAAAGTGGTCCAATTGATTTTTATAAGAAAAAACAATAAAAGTCGACAGACTTTGAGACTTTTATTGTTTTTTCTTATAAAAAAGAGATATATATTTATATATATATATACATATTTGAAATTGGAACTCCTGGGACTATCTAACTGCGCCAAAATATACGGGGAGTACCATGAGAAAAATATAATTGGCTGCCGTATCTTTTCAATATAACCCTGTATAAAATTTCTAATGATGCCAATGAATTGTTCGCATCATACTATATGAATAAACTTTCGAAAATTTTCAGTATTCCCCACCATGAAGCACTCAGAAAATTAACACGAAATCGGCTATTTTTCAATTTCTTCCTGTATCTCTGACACGAATGAATATATCGAAATTCAGAATGCGCCATTTTAGGTTTCTCTTAAATCGGACCCGTAACATGTATATCGGTTTTTCGATAACTCCTTTTGTTATTGAGATAGACCGTGAAAACGCCCAATTTTGCCCACCCTGTACAAGAGCCTACCAGTTAAAATATTCAAATTTCACATAGATAATTTTCTGGTTTTGAAATACCTATTGTAAATTTTTCAATATTAGATCGTCGTTTTTCCAGTCACAAAAAAAATAGTTTATTATTGTATAATAAATAACGATCGCGGTTAGGGATATATTATTGTTTTTATTGCACTAAAAAGCGTTTTTGAGAAAAAATTGCCATTTTGAAAAGTTTTTCAGGGTGGATAACAAAAAATCTATGAATATTTTCAATATTGAAGTAAAAGAACGTTAAAGACATACGTTCACATGCGAAGTTTTTTTTCTTGATATGGGTCCAAGATCGCTCTCTTTGTATATTAGCATGCCATTTAGGAACACCCTGTATAATTATAGTAAGGAACGCGTGGGAAATATTGAGTCCGGACACAGCTATACTTCTGTCCTTTTCTGTTTTCAAAAAATGCATTGATGATTGAATAAAGGAATAAGACATATATATCGAGCTCTGTCTTTTCAATTCCCCTAGGATCAATGATTGTCAGAAAAAATTTTGAGGGTTAGATTATTTGTCAAACCGTTCATAGCCGTAGGTAGAAGTGAGAAATAGGGCTATTTTAACTAGAATATTACTATTAGATTTTCAAATAATGAACAACAGGGTGTTCAAATTTCGAATCGATAATTTTCATAATCAATTCCTGAGATGGCTATTGCAAATTTTCGTCATCAGGTATTCCTTCACTTCATTAGATATAAGAAAGATAATTTGAGTGTTCTATGTGGTATCACATATAGCCAAGAAAATATAGTTGTTTTCTGTTGGGATATAAAAAAATAGAAGATATATAATTGTTTCAATATAATTTTAATTGTGTCAGTTTCCCACCTCTTCCTGCAATCTACATTCACCTGTAAATTTTGAATTTGATCTAAATTAAAAACACCGTGGACTGATGACAGCACATTGCAATTTCTCTAAATCTTCTAGTTTTGATTTCAAACTTTCAATTTCTTTCCGCATCATTTCATTCACATTTTCTTTCTCTGCGATCGTATCATTCAGTAATTCCCAATAAATACGATGACGACGGAACTCTTTTTTTGAACGTCTCTATTTTATAAATTGACGGCACAGCAGACTCTTTCAATTTGAAATCCATCAGCTTGAAAGAATCTCTATCAAAATGGGCCTAAAATTCATCTTTTTTGTACTGTTCTTTCAAGTAAATTTGAATATTCACCTCACATATTGCAGATTTCTTGAAATCAATTTTCCATTCTGGACGTTTCATAGCATTCTTCCATGACATTATCTTTAAAGGATCATTCGGAAAATTGAATAACTTGAATCCCTTTTCTAATGAATTATCGCAATAATGTACGCAGCAGGACATTGAAATAATTCAAAATGCTAAATTTTGGCTGTCATAAAATTTCAGTGACAGTGACAGATATTCGAAATAATTAAAAAAAGCGGGTGGGCGACTATGGTGTTTCCATATACGTATTAATAAACAATACGGATCATAACGGGTGCCAGGATGAAGCCAAAAATATGAAACAAATGAATATCCATAAGGATTTGGTGGCATGATACGCATGCGCCATGCGCTATTATAGTAGTCATCAAAGACATGCGTTTCGGTGGACAATGACGTTTACTAGCCTTTCAATCGAAGCAGTATGTGTCTGATCGTTTTAAAAGGTTTACTTATGGATAGTCATTTGTCTTCAAAAATCGGCTTCATGTTTCGCTATGGAAACAGATAGAGATTATCCGTATTGATTATTAATACGTATATGGGTGTTTCGTCACATTGTCAGGTGGGCAAACCAAATGAAACAAAAATGTTAAAAACCCCAACGGCTGTCAGTTTTGTGTCCGGACTCTTGTCTAAGGTACATACACAGGGACTCAAGGAAATTATAGCGCCCTGTGGTACGCCTGCGTTGGTAGGTGATGTGTCAATTGTCAAAGGTGATACCATCCACTTGACCATCCACAGCTCTGCATGATGACATAATATGTCGATCAACGATCAGGATATTATCCTGATCGTTGCTCAAAAATAATAGAAATATACGGGGGTGAAACTGAAGTCTTCATGTGAGAGGTATTATACATGCAGAAACACAATTAATTATCTTGACAATCTGCGATGCTGCTTGATGAATTATAAATCATTAACTAAATAGTATCAATATTTATCTTTCGATAATGATTATTATACCTATTAAATCTTCCTAAACCATCACATAAATTTTTAGATGACAGTCTAGTTAGTTTTTCTACTTCAGTGTCCTATACTCGGTCGTACTGGGGCAGAAAAAAATGAATAGTGCAGGTAGAAATATATAATATATATTCATTATTATTTATCTTTGAAATCACACAATCTTATTCGGTTAAGTCAACGTCAAATTATTATAGTACGCTTCAGATAAGTTATACTGCTTTCTACCCGTGGCACTTGATGTTTTCTGTTTTTTTCATCATGGTGTAGTTATTCAAGGATTCAAGGGTTGGGCATATGTGTGTAATTTATTTTTTCTACTCACATAACTAAAATGGCATTTAGCGTACGGATATGTACCACGCTAAATGATGGATTAATCACGTATTGACGATCTGTGATTTATTCATGCGAATAATAGACGAGAGTGAAATCGAAGAGAATGTTCTGGTATTTGCATATCTCCAAGAAGTGTAAAAATGAAGCATCCATCTTTGAGAACAATTTATTCATTCTGCGCTAAGCATGACAATAAATGTGAAACAAAGGTTAGTAAGCAATGGACTGGACACATCTACAACCAATATCATTTATATACGTGTCTCGCTGGTAGCATGCATTTGCATGTATTATCTTCTCAATTCCCATTCCTTTCGAATTATTTTTAAGGTTAGCAGGAGTTGCAGGTATGTTTATGTAATTTTCGGAGTTCGTAGAAAAAGCATAGTATGTAACGCGTTTATAAACTCTTCTAGACACTCGTTTATTAAACACTCGCTCCGCTCTGCTCCGCTCGTGCTTAAACTACTCGTTACTAAAAGGACGTTTATAACACTTGTTACATAATATACTATTTTCTGTCAAGTCTTTTATATTTTTCTCTGTTCTACTCAGTGGCTAGCAGTGATAGTGATAGAGGGTGTCCCATTTAAAAATGAAAAGTTAGGATCGCTTCCATTATAACCGGAAGTGATAGAACAAAAACTGTTTTGTCAATTAATGAGCAATTTGGTCTCGAATTTGGTATACTCTAGCTACCAACCAATATTCAAAACCCTATCTCGAATAATTCAAAAGTTACAGTCCTGGCCGTTTTTTGTGCACTTCTCTGTATGTCTGCATGCTGTGATCTTAAATTCATATAAATATATGATCAACATTCGATAATTCCGATTACCTAAAAATATATTTGCAGGTAGCATAAATGGACTACGTTTGGCGGTATTAGGAGTATCGGAATTTTTCGGGACAACCGTACTGCTATTCCTGTCATGTACAGGGTGTACATCGGGAGCACAAGGACCTATCCGGGTGCTACACACAAGCATGGCTGCTGGACTAGCAGTCACTGTAGTTATTCAGGTAAAACCCAAACTTTTATGTCCAAACCAAAGCAACCGACCCTGAGTAGATAAAATATGAAACATCCTTCATAATTGCAGATGTTGGGACATATTTCTGGAGCCCACGTGAATCCCGTTGTGACGTTGTCCGCTTTTATTCTTGATGAATTATCCTGTACAGAAGTCCTAGTGTACATATTCAGCCAACTACTTGGAAGTCTTGCGGGATCTGGATTCCATGAGGTAAGTCGTTAGTTGATGGGCAAACGTTTCATAATAGATAGGACCCAAAATATGTGATTAAAAAATGGGATAGGAAGCTATATCAAAAAATTTCAATTCCACCTTATAAGCTACTTATCGAACTCTACGTGAATGATTTCAGGATCAGAACCCTAATATTTGGTAGCAGGTATTTGGTACAATTCACGTCCGAATGTCCCGAACCAAAAATAAGTGTCCTTGGGACGTCCCATCCCGTACATCTCATGCAATGTCCGAGCAAGGACGTCCATGGAATGTCCCAGCTGGTACATCATTTCAAATGTCCTAGAAATAGCATCCCTTAGACGTCCCACGTGGTACATATTGTAGAATGTCCATGCACGGACGTCCTCAGCATGTCCCTGATGGGATATGATTTTAAACGTTCCTTTAGAGACATCCATCGGATGTCCCGAGTAGTACATATTCTGGTATGACTAGATCTTATATAATGTCCCTTCTAGACAACTATGAAATGTCCCTGATGGTACGTTCCTTCAAATATCTCTGCACAGACGCCCTTAATATTTCCAGGATCGTATAACAATCGAAATGTCCCTTAGGCACATCCTTCGAATGTCCCTTAGGGATATCCGTCGGATGTCCCACAGACGTCCAATGGATGTCCACGGTACCAAATTCGAACGTCCTATGGACGTCCTGAATGTCCCGACAGGACGTCCTAAGGATATCCATGGGACATAAGTGTGTTATTAGGGAAGCGATACTGTAACGAAGATGGATTTGCACAATAAAGTTCAGTACATAGATCAATACCAATGTATAATATGTATTCTTCTCAAGTCTTCTAAAATTGAGATAATCTTAACATGATGATGCCTACAATAAACATGGAATAAGTAATTTACCTACCTAACAGCAGGTCCAATGGGGAAGTTCCCTTCACATCAGATGAATTTTCATTACAAAAGATCGGAACTTTCCAGTTTTATGTCCACGCTGTACAGAATGGCGACCAATAATGTCCAGAATATAGCTAGCGAATAGCTAACGAATGGAAAACGAATGAAAAAAATAGAAGAAGTAGTAAAACTGGTAAACACTCCAAGCAGGAATGCAGAAGGTAGTTGGCTTCATTCTGACAAGTTATGGTTTTGTTATTTATGCATCGAAATATCTCGAATAAAGCTCGATCCTAAACGAAAATATGATTGAATCAATGAATAAATATCGGCTACATTCAATGATTCTATCCTTCCTAATTTACTGCCATCGGTCAGAAGAGAATGAAGCCGACACCCATGGCTCCTTCCTTTGTTGTGCCTGTCAGTATTTTGAGTGATGTGATGGGACTAGGCGCTGTTGCAAGATATAATCTGCAACTTTCCTAGAAGATAGGTCCGTTTAATTAAGGAACTAATTCATTAGCAAGAAAATGACTGACAAGTTTTTGAATAACATATTGTAATATATAGATAGTGAAAAATTATAGATACTATCGCAAAATATCATAATTTAACTTTATTAGTAATCAACTTCATTCAGCCAATAGGATATTTATGGGAATTATTCATAATACTTGACAAAGTAGGATTGGAGAACCTATTATATCCCATTGCTGTCATGACATAGTTATTATACATTCAAAGAACAATTTCCGGAAACCTAGACATATTTATGATGTCGGCAACGTCGTAATGGCACAGGGAATCGTGGTCTTACTCTATGTGAATGTGGATTTTCAGAAAGTACGTCATAGGAATGGTGGAGGAGCCAAGTTCTTCTTTTATTATTTTGTTTCTGAAGTGAAATTTGATCTTACGAAAAAATGAAAATATACGTATATATTATTTTTTTACAAACTTCACAGTGAGATAAACACTTCAAGTGTCTTAAGAATCTGTTTATCAATGAATAATAATATATCTTATAAAAGAGAATATGATTTTTGGAAACAATTTCATGCAGCCCTAAATAACGTCTACCACAACAGTAATCTGGACAGGATGTTACCTTATTTCATTGATAGACCGTATGTCCTAGTATAGTGCTCTGCTACAATACCTATTCCTATTCATTTTTCATTCATCTTTCAAATGGAATTATGTGAAATTCTGAATAATGCTTTTCTCGACAGTTAGTGACATCATCAGAGTTATACGTCGGCGGTGATACTACAGAAGCTGCTGGAAATTGTGTAAATCTACCAGATGGGAGTTTAACCGATTGGCAGGTAGGAAAATCATCTTTTTTGAAAGTGCTCAATAATCGAGAGCATTCTGTCAATAGAAGTGCTTGGTATGTATGTTGCAAGTAATATATGATTTTTTCGTCTGCAATATTGGATACGTATTCTAGTTGTAAGATATGAAAATTATGAATTCTGTGGTCACATATATTATGTTTTCAGGCCCTCGGTGTCGAAATAATATTGTCTGTTATCTTGGTTATTCAAATGGAGAAAAAAACAAAAACTCAAAGTCGGTCGACCACAAAATTTAATAAAAGGAGTGACTATAGTTTCGGCTCAACGGCCATCTTCAGACACAATGTAAAAAAGTACCTTATGGAGAAAAGTATATTAATTAAAAACAACTAGTAGGTCAGCATCGAATCATCCGTCCAAATTGGAACTAGTAAAATTTAAAACGGCTGAAAAGCCAAAAGAACATTACGATGAGTAAGTTCAACATTAAAAATTCAAAAAATTTTGATTAATTAATCAACTCAACGGAGCTTCATCAGCGGTCAGGCCATCAAAGGAAAGAAAGAAGGTCTTTCCTTTGATGGCCTGACCGCTGATGAAGCTCCGTTGAGTTGATTAATTAATCAAAATTTTTTGAATTTTTAATGTTGAACTTACTCATCGTAATGTTCTTTTGGCTTTTCAGCCGTTTTAAATTTTACTAGTTCCAATTTGGACGGATGATTCGATGCTGACCTACTAGTTGTTTTTAATTAATATACTTTTCTCCATAAGGTACTTTTTTACATTGTGTCTGAAGATGGCCGTTGAGCCGAAACTATAGTCACTCCTTTTATTAAATTTTGTGGTCGACCGACTTTGAGTTTTTGTTTTTTCTCCATTTGAAAAATACTGGGCCACTTTGAGAATGGATGGTTTCCATGACTTATCTTGGTTATTGCCAATTGTGCTTGCTGGGACCAGAGAAACAATAATAAAGTGGATTCGGTACCTCTCAAAATTGGCATGGTTGTGGTTGCTTTGAATTTATCTGCAGTAAGTACCTACCTATTATGATTTCGATCCAACATTAGACTAATTTACTACTATGGTCTTGAGTAGAGTCCCTTTATGTATTTGACAGTTTTGCAAAACTTGATGAGTTAACGATTCTGTTGCTTTACTGCTACCACAGTTTAAGGAATACCCATTCCTTAAACTGTGATGCTACTGAGACTGCTGCTCTGAATCAATGGAAACGGGCCGTTCTGATGAAGCGTCACTATACCGGGTGAGACAGGATACATGTAGCAGCCTGTAGTTTTCTCATTTGAAGAGATACAATTTTGACATTCACAGGGGTATATAATAAATGGTAGCGCACTTTACGAACTTAACGAGAATTTTTTTCAACGACCTGTTTGACCGGAAGTGACCCCAAACTTTTTTTTTAATGTCACCCTGTACATTTCTTCAGTCTATCTTTTTCGCCTTGAAATTCTCTATCCAACCATGTATCACAAAGTGGCATTTATTCCTTAATTCGCTGTTGAATTGCTTTTCATTCAAAAAAAATAAGTTGGCTGTGACATGAATTCGATGATATATCGACACTTAGTAGGCTTTGAAAAAAAGATCATTAGTAAACCGATATTATTCAAAATGTTTTGATATTCTGATCAATGTCTGCAGGTTGTCAATAGCGTGTTTGAGTCAAGATGAAAACGTTCGAAAATAACTCATGATATTGAGGAATCTAAGATAGGAACATATTTTTTCGAATTCAGCTACTCGTACAGAAACTATCTGTCTTTCATTTTTGCTCATAGCTTTTGATACGAAACATAATATTTCTGTAGGAACTATAAAATGAATTCAATTCTTATTCATCTGAGTCTGTGTTTATGTGAAACTCAATAATTTTATTCCATAGATAATAAATGAGAAATTGATAATTCACACAGTCAAACACAAATGGAAGCAAACCCAAATACGTCACTCTTCATGTTCAAATTGCCTCCCCTGATTTTCCTGGCACATCCTGACTTTCTGAACAATTGCTCTGAGAACATTCAGTAGCTGCTCTTCAGTAATTTCATTGATAGCAGTTCTAACTCTCATTTCCAAATCCTCGCGGTTGCGTACTGGAGTTCTGTAAACCTTCTCTTTGAGGTGACCCCATAAGAAGAAATCCAACGGCGTAATATTTATTTTCTTCCATCAGTAATATGATGAGATCACTCATTGAAAAATAGTTTGTATGCATCCATAATTATCTCTTTAAGAAATATAATCATTTTTTTCCTATCAATTACATAACCTCAGATTATAATAACATCGAGAGCCCAATCCAGTGCCCAATCAAAAGCCTGACTGACACTGACCTCAAGTATTAGTAGCCCCAACTGACTGAAAATGTTAGATCCCATTATAGCACGGCGTTTCACTCTTATGTTGTTCTCTCTATCTTTCTCTGTCGTCCATATCCAGTTGTTCAATATCATCAGATCTCTGCCTGATACACCATTAAAATCTCCACACATAATACAACTTTTTGTAACTAGTTTATTTTGCGGAAGCTTCGTTTGATTCAATAAAACCGAAAGGAGAAGAAAAAATAGCCACCCAACCCACCTTCTCTCCCTACCCCCCTAGGTGATGACTAATCCCCCTAATAACGCGCACGATGTTCCACTAAAAAATAGCTTGTCTGTGACGGTTTTGCACAAAAAATATGCCTATACACACTCACCGGCAAAAAATTTGCCCAAATTGTTCATCCTGTAACTTTTTTAATCCTTGTCCGATTTTTGTGAAATTTCGATCAAATCGTAGATTTATGTTCTGGAATATCGGCCTAAATATTATTTTCCTTGAAAAGCTGATGACTTGATCATTATACAAGGAAAAACCAAAGGTACTCTTTCCTTATGCTTCGGATTGAATCTTAACACAATAGTTTCTGATTCACGTCAATATCTTATTTTCGAAAAATAAAAATACGAGTCTTTTAAAATAGTATGGCATTTTTAATTTTTTTTACCAATAATCAGATTCTACAAGAACTTATTGATTAACAACTTGAAGAATTAATATCACTTATTTTACCTCACTTTCATAACAATTACCGGAAAATTAATTTAAAAAAAACAAACAAGAAGCAGACCTGTAGTCAACAACAAGTATGCTCTCCTCGAGGTTGAATTACAGTATTCAACCGCCGTTGCATCGAATTATTGATCAAATTCCTCATGTAGTCTTGAAGAATTGCCTAAAATTCTCCTTGAAGAGTCTCTGAGAAGGCTGGACGAAGGGGAATGAGCCTCTTGAGGTCACCCCTAAGATGCTCTATAGGTTCTGAATTATTGTTATTGAAAATTGAAACATACTATACTTTTTTGAAACACTTGTATCATCTCTCAAAAACAAGATATTGACGTGAATCAAGAACTGTTGTATGAAGAAGGGACGTAAGAGGACCACACTTCAATTCAAAACATGATGAAGCAGAAGGTTGGAGAATGGTACTGAATTATTGTTGATAAAAATTTCAAAAACCCATACTCTCTCGAAACCCTCTAAAAAACCATTATGTTGATGAGGGATCACACTTCAATCCAAAACATAATGAAGCTATAGCGTATTCGACTGGATTGCACTGACACGGTATAGATGCGTATTTAGCACTGCACTTCGGACAGAATTCGTTTTGTTTGAACCAATGTAGAGCAGATGCATGTCGATAATTCGAATTATTCTGGCACTGTATGGATGAAGTTCAATATTGACATTATGAATATTCGACTGGTATGTTGAGGACAACGTGTTGTTGGATCCTAAGGCTGAATCAAGCTAGATATAATCAAATATCTCAATTCAAAATTGACAAATTGTCAAATTATTTCTTAAATTTCGAATACACACGCACGACAAAAGTTGGATTTGAATGCGCAGTAGTGCAGCCAGTCGACTACGCTATAATTAGTTAAACCACTCCCCTTTTCCACAGGGTGGTAAGAAGTTAAGGGTGAAAGAGTAACTTTTTTTTCCTGTATAATGATCGATCCATCAGCTTTTCTTAGGAATTAACATTCTGAAACATGAATTTACGATTTGGTCGTTTTTTTTTGTTGGTGAGTGTATAATTATCATTTCAAGGGTGTCTACACTGGAGCAAGTATGAATCCCGCCAGGAGTTTTGGACCAGCTGTATGGGCCAACAACTTTGATAGTCACTGGGTAATATTTTCCAATAATTATCACACTATATATTATTAGCCTTTTGATAATATTACCTATACACATTGAAATTCAAAAGTACTGAAATGTTTCTATTAGTCTCACACATCGATGTGATCTCGGATGTGATTCACTATTATGTATTCATTCAAAAATATTTTTTATCAACTCACTCAATCAAAAGTTGGCGTTTGCTCCCTAAGTTGCAAAGGACCCCGCACCGCAATAGGGGGGAAATTGGTGAATTTTCTCGAATTTTGGATATATCGTAGAACTCGTGATGCTGATCAGATGTCCCAATTATCAACGCTCTTAATTCAATAGTTTGTATTATACAGGGTGCTGAAGTTGACTTTTTCAAAATTTCGAATGGCCATTGTGAAGTTGCCTTCTTGAATACCAAAATCAAATCGAATACGTTTTGTTTGTCCATGTGGCCGGTGGAAATCCACTATAGAGTTCAATGATATCTGCACGTACTCTCACGATATACAGTGTTGGTACAAAAATAGCAAATGTTCCAATTATTTCCGAGATAGTGAGCGGTTGAAATCAATTCATTTTTGGACATTCTGTAGTATAATAATATCAAGATCGATTCATGATTCATTTTTTAAATCAGACTACATATTGTACACAAGATGTTCAAGTTTCCATGAAACCGCACCCGTCCTGATATTCATATCGATCGAATGATTGGAATCCCGTAAAACTTGGTGAAAAAGTTGATAATTCGTGATGACAATATTTCATGCAAATACCTGAAATATACATGGTAGTTGAGAAAGTAGTAGTGGAGTTTTCTTGGAGTTGACGTACTCCAGAGCAATTGAGAAACAAGACAGAAATCCTCTCTACTGTGGTATAAATAAATATTTTCTTACAGGTATACTGGGTTGGACCAACCATTGGGTCCCTCATTGCCAGTTACTTTTATAAGTATACGTTTTCGAAAGTTAGATAAAGCATTCTGTACATTTTATTTATAATATTCAATCTCAGTATGAAAGCTCACCTACACTTTTATTTTTTAAAAACTCATTGTAATGACTATATTCCTAATTAAATGACTTCACTATTCTCATTACTTCGTAATATGAGGAGAAATTGATTTTTCCAGATTTTCATTTTCAAATTTAGTGACTAGTATGATAGATAGGAAGAAGACAAGTTGACAAAATTACATTTCCGTGTCTAATATTATTTTTCAAATGGCAACCATTTTTTGACAAGCACATTCCGAAAGAAGGATTTTTTGCCGAATCTAACGATACTAATTAATTTGCTTTTTTTATTGACTCGGCCGTTACTCGATGAAAATCCATAGCAAATGAAAAAAATTCACAAACGATAAGATTTCCACAAATCTTATCGTTCGTGAAGTTTTTTCATTTTAATCTATTTGCGATTGGATTGACAATAAGAACATTTTTATACAACTGGATATTCATTTATTACATTCGTCAAGTGTGCCATGGATAGCCATGATGCATAATATTTTGCAGTTATTATTTTCGAGTATTTTTTGGAAAACAAAACACTCAGGTAATGACAGTGACATAAGCCTTATGAGCATTGAGCAGACAGTAAATGTAAAATCAAAGTAAAGAGTGGATACTTGAGTGTTTTGTTTTCCATTCAAATATTCAAAACCAGAACCATTTCCGGTGAAACCGGAAGGAACCGGGAAGTGAACAATATGCGGAAACATTCCCCTTCACATTGAATTTCATGTTGATATACCGAATATTCTAGAAGTTATTGGTTGATTCGTTGACACCCGGTATGTGTAGTTAGAACAAATCAGATGTTTTGCTCTAAAATGTCACTGCGTTAAACAATTTCACTATTAGAGAGCCTGATGAAAAAAATGCAATTGTTCGTCAGTGAGACCTTGTTTTGAAAAATGCTTAAAAATTATTTAAAAATCTGTAACAATGAATGCTCCATTCATCTTGGGATGAGGTCTGACATTTCTAGTCTCACAACTCTAAAAATTTGCACATTTATCGCACATTTATGTCCTAAGGAAATTATGTTATTTAAAGGTCAATTGGAGACGAATGATTCACTATAGGAGAATATCCAGGGTGAAAGTAAAATAAGAAGAAACGTTTCCATACACCCTTCAGATACTGCTTTCGTGCTTTATTCGTCTCTCATTGAACTTGAAATAACATAAAATCGTTTTTTACAATAATCAGTATTTACGAAGTTCTGGAGACACATTTCAAAAAATGTATGAGACTCTTGAAAAAAATTGACCATTTCTCATCCAAAATATTTCGAATAGGTAGGACATTCCGAAACGTCTCGAGAATATATAGAGTCCTGTTGTGTCGTGATGTGAACAACAGTATAAAATGTTCAACAGTACAAAATTTTCTGAAGCCAAGTAGCATTGCAAACGTAATAGTGTGATGGTTCCCCTTCAAATCCTGATAGTTTCGTTCTCTTGATCCTGATGTTTTCTCATTATTGTAGATGTTCCTGGAGTCGATGAAATATAACATCTGATATACTGAAAACCTAGAGTAAATTGATCAATTCCTTCGGGAAATACAAGTTTGTCGAAAAAGAGTTAAACTGATGTATGATGTCACTGGCGGATTTCCCATAAGGCACAGTAGGCCCGGGCCTAGAGCTGCCAGATTTTGGGGTCGGCCAATCGTGACGAAAAATTCCCTGATGATAACAAGAAAAAACTAAAAGTACCAAAATAAAAAAAAAATAAATTTCTACTGCCGACACGAGTCCAGTTATGTTGGTGATTCAAAAATTTTACAATCATAACTTTTTGATAATAATTGATACACTGTCAGGAGAACACAAGAAAGGATCGGATGCTTATAAATTACTTTATAATGAATTTGATTTTATTTTAAATATAAGTTCGTCTGAAGTCGAAGAAAAGGCCGAAGCATACCAATAATTAGTTTACCTACGGCCACTATAGAAAGTAGGCATCAAGAACACACGAGATACAGCCTCAGTAAGTAGCTCTTTAAACACAGTGAGCACATCGCACAGTTTTCGTTTATCCCGCCAGTATAGGTATGAATTACATCGCAAGCCGTCAAGATTCCCATAAGATCGCCGATGCTGTGTCTTGCAGTTTTCCTGGAAGCCCTCTCGTGAGATTCCCACTTTGCGGCATTCTCACAGGCAGTCAGACTTTGCTATTCGTACGATCAACATCTTAGTACCTTGTCTTCCAATATATTAAAATAAATTGTTTTTAAAAAGGAACTTTGGTATCCCAAATAGTTATTTGGCGCAGTCGGTAGGATATCCGGGTTGTAACGTATCGAACGGGACAATTTCGTATCTACGATTAATCGGATATTCGAACAGTGTTGATTCGTGGTGGAGGTGTTCGAAGCTGAGTGGCTCTTCAAATCTCAAGAAACCCAGTCTATCGAAGACCCGACGGGGACTCCTACTATCATTCATCATCGAGTTTTGGAACAACAATTGTCCAATTCTGCGAGATCAACGCACCTGGAGGAGACAAAAATCGCAAGTCCAGACGTTATATCATAGTCAGAGATGCTGAAAGTGCTCGACCTTTTCATATTCCCGGGTATTCTTGGACTTCAAGACCGGATAACTATTCGAAATTTAGACAAAAATTCTGGACTAATTCCTTCAAAATTAGGAACGGCAAAAATTGAAGACCAAAGACACACATTGATTCACTATTTTGATCTCATCAACCCACTGATTTTAGAAATTGAACGACTGAAAACAAAATCCAATGACTTGACAGAACTTACCAAGAAAAACGACGAATACTCTAAATACGCATCGAATTACTTCAAAATACTTCATTACACTGAAGAAAATGTTGAAGGAAAGCTTCTAGAAATATTACCGTATAATCGAAGAACGAAAACAGGTTTAATCGATGGACTAGGATCAATATTCAAATCAATTACTGGCAATCTGGATGCGAACGATGGTGAACGTTACGAAAAAATCATTCAAGAACTTCAGAACGGTCAGAGCGAACTCGCTTCACATATAAAAAAACAAAATTCTTTGTCTGTCAACCTCATAAACAAATTCAATGATACCATTCAACAAATGAGTCACAATGAAAACCTATTGGAAACAAAAATGAAACAAATCTCATTTATTGTTCAGAAAAATGTACTAAGAGAAAATTCGAATTTCATCAAAGATCCTAATCCAAAGAATTATAATTCAGACTGTTTGACCAAACTTTTTTGATGTATTATATGGCAGTAGGTAAAGTATAGTACGTAATGCGTGTTGTAAAGCAATTACGCACTCATGGAACTTTTCCATTCGTGCGTAATATGCTTCTTTCAACACATATACGTAATATACTATTAATCTACTGACTTATAAGCGAACAATTTTTCAGAATGACATCTTTATTTTCGTGCTCACTGCAGTATACAATAATGGAGACCTGTAGTTGAATAACATAAACCTAAAACCAACTTAATAGTTTTATTCAAATGTGCAATTACTTATATTGCTTATATCCATGAAACCTCCAGCTGTTATGGTTAACACTGAATTTCTGAATTGTTTTCGTTAAAAGTTGGGCTGGTCCCTAGGGCTGCGGGTGCCTATAGGGCGGCCACGACTGCAAATCCGCCACTGTATGTTGTTGACTTATTATTTTTGAAAAATCTTTCTAATTTTTTTTGCGAAAAATTAGAACTTTGCAATTCAAGATAAAGCTAAGATGTAGAGTTAGTTCGTTTTTTTACGAAAAATCTCAGCTTTTTGAAATAATATGAAACTCAGGTAATTTACTAACTACTAATTTCCCTCACAATCAATCACTGATCACAACTCAATTTACTCACCATGATCAAATTATTCAGGCTTTTGCTTTGGACGGCCTCACCTACGACTCTCTTGTCGATTCTGAAAAAGAAAACAACAATAGCATTATAATGTTGATATTCTATAGCTGAATCGGAATTTTCGTACATTACTTCAGTCGGATTTATTTCACAAACTGTATGACTGCTTATCCCACATCGCCTTATCTCTAAATAAATACATTTAATGACAAAACCATCATATTTTTTTCATTGTAATCACCTATCAATTTTTTGAATCAACATTTTTCAAATATCCGCACATTTATACGTTCATAATACACGCTTATACGAATAATTGATCGTCCACTTATAGGTCTATCAACATTTAGATGACGATACTCTTGAAGTTTACAGGGTGTTCCAGAGTTGTATAGTGAGAAACGGCCAAACGCCTATAAGGGTGAATTCGGCTCAGCAATGCATGGGAGAAAGTTCATATGAACATCGGTCCGAGAAGTGCTTCGTTCCCGAGATACAGGGTATTAAGTTTTTTGAAAAAATATAATTTTTCATTGATACCCTAAAACACTTTATACGATTTCAATGAAATTTCAAAAATCGAACATCTACTAAAAAAAAACTATTTTCGATTCCTAATCTGTAAACTTGGAAGTACATTTGCATTTTGGAGGATGATTCATTGGGAAATGCGCAAACAGAAAGGGTAGATGGACACCGAGGTACTCCTATATAATCTATATTTCATGGGTCTATCATTTTTTATAACCAAGATACAGGGTGATTTATTGATTTTCCTCATTTTTTCAATTAATCATAACTTATGAACCACCCTATACATTTTTTTTATATTCGGTTTGTATGTTCTTTGTCCACAGTGGTGACGATTGACATAATAAAAAAAAGTCTTATTCCAGGGCCGGCCTTGAAAAAATCAATAAATAGGTTTAGAGTCGAAACAACATCAATATTTCAGAATCTCATTTACAAATTTGGAAATTTTGTTTTATATGAAGTACTAAGTACTGACATTATGATAAACCTAGAATCTCAAGACTAAGAGATTGTTTCGACTTGCCATAAGTCTCATCAGTTGCACTGGCCAGCTGACAATCGATTCACAAAGGGTACCTCCATATAT